TACTACCAAATATCAATCGTCAAGATGTGAATGGACAATAGGATCATACCGAATAGATTGAAGTGACACTGTGAAAAGTAGTCTGTCATCTTAGGTAACTCTCTCAATCGCTCTCACAAATCCCTCACTGAACATACACCCAACCCCTTTGGACACTTGTGCAGAGTACGATAGTACACACAGAGTACAGAGAACGCGCTCGCCAGTGGAACTTACAACTTCTCCTCTCAACCCTCAAAACGATGGCTTCACCCATCCACAGACAAACGGCTCAATCACTCAACCTTTCCTTTCATGTTACGTGAACCAAAACTAATTGCGTGTCTGACTGCGTGCGTAATATGCAAAGAGTACAGAATCAAGTACAGAGATGCACGTTTCTTTATGCATAACATGCAATAGTGTTGTGCAAGTAAGTTGGTTGTGCACATGGTGCAGAAATTCATATTAGATATTTGGGGGCCGATAGTGCAAATATCCGTCGGGAGGTATGTGTTGACAAGTAGGGTATGGTAAGCTATGCGCGAATTGTTCGCTACATCCAATTTGTATGCGAATTTCAAGAAATTGATACCGAATATGGACGGATGGTATGTACGAAAGTTGGAGACATGAGCTGGCTTTGATAGATGATAATGGAAGAATTGAGTGAGACATGTTTGGAAGAGTGTTATAACATTCGAACTCATCGATGTTTCGTCTAATACACAATACATTAGCTGATTAGAGTTTGACATATTAGTCCACGGGGTATCACAATAAAAAGCAACATGGAAATGAGAGGTCGGTTTAAAATCCGATAAATAGGTACCAATGTCTTTCTTTTGCCATAAAAAGAAAGCACAAGGCTGAGTGAGACATTTCCTCGTGGTTTAGAGATTTGATCAGATTCGGCCAGTACGATTGATTTTATGCAGGATGAAGGAATGAACTACTCACTCAGCACATAGCGATTTCGATTTTCAATGAAAACCTGTGAACAACTGATAATCATTTCGTTCACTCAATACCAAAATCAAGATACAGACAAAACAGACGGACTAACTAGCGTGCTCTTAAATTATGATTCCTCTCAACAATACAGTATTTCCTCCCTCCGTGCCTCCCTCTTTCGCCCCTCCTCTTTCTTACAAATAGGAATATGACTGTATTTTCTCCATGCACTCGCCACATCCGCCGATATAATAGATTTGTGCACTTGATCAAGGATATTTATACTTTAGTGGATTACTTTTGAGGAAGTATCCAACCATCAGTGGATAAGGTTCTTCGACAAACCCTTCAAGCGGTACCACACGAATGATTGGCTCCACTGGCTATATGATATCACAAACACACTAAACATCGGAACATCCTAGGAAAAACGTGGCAAGAAAACGTGGGAGTCCACTATTGACGCCCGTTCAAGGCATTTTGCTCTCGAGATTTCGTAAATTCACATCAACCAATAATGGTTTCCAATTTCTGTTCGCTACAATCCTCGAGCCCAATTCTTTCTTCTTCTGGTGTCACAATTTCATGAATCGACTCAACTGGACCCTACAAAGAGTGTGGACATTCCCCTCTTTCGTTCCCCTTACTAGTTGTAAAACGAATCCACGAATCCACGAACCCACGAACCCACCAAACCCACGAACACAACATTCAGATAAATTATGCGCATCAAAATGCTGCTACGGGATATGCGAGAAGGCAAGAAGAGTTAGGACGGGCGGGCGGGCTATGATAAACAGAGTCTGTGCAACATTCCTTTATGCGGATTGGATGTTAGCCCGCTCGACGGAGTGCCTCCTCCATAGTACGAGGATCGGAGAAGGATAAAAGGAGAGATTATTTCGTACAGTTGTATGAACCAGGGGATCTCTCAATGCCGTTGACATACCTACTAGGTATCTTTAGTCTTGCATACCCAATGCCCTCCCTTTTCCCATGGGATTTTCGAAGGCGGCCAGGAAGGATTGACTGACAAGCACAATGACAACCCAATGCGATTAGGAGTACGAAAACAATATGTCCTCATCCCAATTTCTTTCTCCTCCTCCCTGGTTTACACTCCACAAGCACATGCTGCCAAGCTAATCTCGGCCCACCTTCTAGACTGTGAATTTGTCTTCCATTTGGCGGTGATGTGGTGCATATCATCTGTTCAAAAGTCCCAACTATTGATCCTAAAACACGATAAAATCACTTGACAAGTTGATATCCATATTAATATCCGTATCTAACCTTACCGCCCATCCACGCATCTTTTCTTAATTGCGAGCCAAAGGCCGACGAATAGATGATCGTCGCACTCTGCCGCTTTGTCAATAGCCCAACTTTTTTCTTATACTTCACCGCCTCTCGAAACGCTGGTCGTTGAAGGGCAGGGATAATCAGACATCAGAATATTTCCACATGGCTCCCAAATCCTTCCCAGTTCATCGGGCGGTGACAAATGGAGATGGAGCGCCAAACACATTCATGCCGTATTGATTCCATAATTTCCCTTGCCCTACCCGGGGTTTCTAGAACCATGATGGAAATTGAGGGGCCTGTCAGTGTGGAGTACTTCGTACAGAGCATTCAACAGTTTCAACAAACCCTTTTATTATTACTAATATACCGAAGAACGAAGGCCGTCTCGTGACAACCATTCATTTTACGTCTTCGTTTATAAATGGGCCTCCCTAGGTAGAACAATGCACTGTACACTATAATGATACCTAGGTCCTATGATGATGGTGATTTGCGGTTGAGTGCGAAGGCGCATCTACCACCGTATGAACCCGCGCGCCTTGCTGACATGTTGAGGCATGCAGACCGTTGACAGAGCTTGCATGGCTCCCGTCCTATTAGCGCAAGGGTTTCGTATTTGGGATACGTACATCATATACATTATTGTCTTTACGCATCCCCATATCGGAACGAGAGAGGGGATTTGGTGGCGGTCTGAGTAAGTTTCGTGCACGCGACCGCGACCTGCAAAGTGGCCTCGAACGGGAGAAGACATTTACTTTGCGCTCTTTTTCAATCCAACCAACGTGTGTACGGCAAGGCACGTTGTTGGTTTCTATGTACGTTGGAGAAGCGTGGCTTGCGGACATTCGCATCATCGTGTTTGGTACTGTGAGCACAATCTTACACACACACACAGACAGGTTCACCGATGTGCAATATAGGCTTACTGATAACATTTCTCTGCTACTGCTACTGCTACTGCTCCAGTTACACGGTAGGCATTTTTCCAAGGGTGGACTCGATCATGCTATCTAGCCGTCAAGAGGTAGTGCCAAGCCCATGAGTTTGGGTGGTAAATTAAAGGTACATACCAGGACCAAGTACAGATGCACAACACCATTCCGAGAAGTGAAAATAAAATTGCAAATGCGCGTTTTGGGGATTATTGCCGACGGTGGTTCCTATAAAAAGGCATTGTTTGCGTGGTTTCAGAACCACTGCCGGAAGGGACAGCGATTTGATGGTGCGATTTTCGCATATGTTTGGCATGTTGCCAATCCTCGTTTCGCGCGCAGGCTGAACCCGGATCGTCCAGGAGAGACATATTTCATCATCACCAAGCTTGTCAACTGCTGAAATGGTTCTCACACCGAAACTTAGAATGGGGAGTTTATTTCATGTTCCCTGGATTCCAACGGAAGAAGCCATAGAGCGAGAGCGAGAGGCATATCAGTTACTCAAGAAAGAAAGAAAGTTAAGAAGAACCCAAGAAGCAGAGAGAAGAAGATTAAAATTGGATAGATCAACAACATTTGAAGATCTTCTTATCTCAGGTTTGTACCTTCTTATTAACCATGTGTCCTGTTCCGGGGGGGGGGAGGTTTGTTTGATGGGTGGAGAGCTGCTGACTGGAGAGCTGCTGACTGGTATTGATGGGTAATTGAAAAATTGAAACCCTAAGAATTTTGGAAGTCTCAGATTTATGGATTGCTTCAAGTTTATACCATACTTATTACCCACCAAAAATGGAGTATCGTAAGGTACCAGTGACCAGTATCAGTATTTACTATTGAGTACAGAGTATTGAGTACGGAGTATGCCATACCTCATGGTTCTAGATGAACCTTTACTCTATCTTATTATGTTCACGATCATCGGTTAGGAATAGACGGGTCTGCTTGTGACCGGTAGTAATAATGGCATTATATAAGAGCCCACAACTACTACATCAACGCAGCAGATTGATTGGCCACACGCAGACCATCAAGGGTTCCGCCCATCCATCCTATGAATGACAATCTAGATCCCTGTCTGCCACGAGTAAAAAACGAGAAAATAAGATAGATTCACCTGGCATTAACTTAAAAGACGATTAGTGTGCTTACGGCCCACGAGTTGTGACAACCTTTGTGAAAGCATATTTGCCGCCATTCGATTCATTGGTTCGTTTCACGGATGTCTGATGAATCATGAAATGGTATGTGTGTGGGTGGGTGGATATGTACCTAAGTATGTATTGTTGAATTTTTTTTAGAGTATCACTAGTATCACTACGACATACAAGGCATAATCGTCTTACTGCGTGCAGTCAAGTACAGGTGAAGGAAAAGACCCAAGCCATTTTCTGTACCTTTCTGTCATTTGAGGATCGGCTCGGTGATAGGTGATATCGGGTGTTGGTAATAGTCCGATCCGGATTTAGATGCATGAGAGTGAGATGAGAGAGAGTGAGATGAGAGAGAGTGAGAATGAGAGTGAGAATGAGGGTGAGAATTTATATGCACAGAGTATCGGTAGGATTGGAGAATCGACTATGCCTACTTTGAATAAGGGTTACCTGTTCTTACTAGATCTCAATACAATGTACTCTGCATAGGAAAACCCTCCCTCTTGAGTCTTCTTCAATCTCTATTGACGATGACAAGTACAGATGCCAAAAGAACCAGAAAGTAGACCCCCCATCGAATAGTTGAAGGAACAGTTCCACTCTTGATGTCAAAAGTGCGCTCCATTCATGTGATTTCATACTGGATATGGACTAGTTACACATCCTAATTGGATTTCATGCTTTTCCTCATTCAACCAAATTAATCATGTTTCATTAATATAAAAAAAAGGTGTGTACACAACATGTTTAGGCATAGAACAAATCAATCAATCCCCCTTGTTCTTTTACACTACCGAGAAAAACACGCCGGACGCACGCTACTTGTGGGTCCCAGCAACCCTCGTGCTTAGAACGAGGTCTCCCGCTTTTCTTGTTTCCTTTTGATTTCTCTACTGCCATTGCTGCATTTGCTGCATAAATAATGCTGGTGGATGTTACCATGCTGTCCAATCCGTCAAGGGTTTGAGAGCTTCAGAGGTCGAGTAAGTACATTCTGAAGTATGGATTAGATGTGCCAGCTAGGATTTCAACGATCCAGAACTGGTAGATTTTTACTCATCACGGTAGTAATGCTTAGCAAATCAATTAAGATTCAAGAAGTGATACTCACTCATCAGTTCTCTTCAGAGTTAGCTGGATAGCCTTTCCCATGTGCCTAGCTGGATTCTGTCACTCTTGAGTCTTGACTTGTCTCCTTGAGTCCTTCCTTCATGGCACGCACGCGTACATTACATGCACGCACGCACGCACCAAATCATCTTATATGCAAAATTCACTTCAGGTGCGGACCGGCCCTCTCTTTCCACCTAGTATCTCTAGCATCTATCTCTCTATACCTCTTCCGAGAAGCGTGAATCTGTTGTCCTCTTTTAATCTTTTTTCAACCCTCAGATATCTTTCTTGCTTTCTTCTTCAAGTAATTAAATAATCCAATCCAATCTTAACCCCTTCAATCTAATCTCCATTCAAGCTAGTCTGGAGGTGCTCTTACTTACTTGGTTCATATTGATACAATTGTTCACCGAATACCTACCTCGACGTATCCTGTTGGTCCCAATCTCCAACTCTCTCTATCCCTCCAGCTCTCCGGCTCTTTTTGAGACCCTCACTATTCGCTAGCTCGAATCATTTTGGTACGGACAACTTAATCTGCTGCTTGTACCTGCCTGCCTGTCCGTCTGCCAGTCTGTCTGTCTGTATCCGTACCTAAAGTTTTGATCTATCGGCAGCCAGCATCTAGTGCCTAGCACCCGTCCATCGCCCAACACCTATCACCTATCACCTACCCAGCACCCAGCACCCAGCACCCAGCACCTAGCACCTAGCCAAAACCCACTCAAACAAAACACACCCTAAACCTTTCTTCCTCGAGCGATTCCTCCACTTCAATCCCTTGAACGGAGTAAAAAAAGGTAAAGAGAGAGAGCAGGAGAGAGCGAGAAGAAACGAGACCCGGCCAGGCCAAAATAGATAAAATAAACAGTACAAGCGTGGATAATCGCAAATTCAAGACAGATGTGTCAAGGTTCCTCCACTATCCTAGTAAGTACTCCATTAATTTTCTTCTCAGGCCTTCCTTGCTCCGTCCCTCCTTGGAAAACATTACAGACTTGCTGTTATAGATTTTCTTAATTGTAATTGTAAATGTTATTTTATTTTTATTTTATTTTATTTTTATTTTTATTTTTATTTTTATTTTTATTTTTATTTTATTTTTATTTTTATTTTTATTTTTATTTTTATTTTTATTTTTATTTTTATTTTTATTTTTATTTTATTTTTACTTTTTACTTTTTACTTTTTTATTATTAATAAAACAATTATATTAGTTGCGGAATTAGAGAGAGAAAAAAACCTTAGATGGCTCTCTCGCCTTCTATTTCACCCCACACCACTGCGACTACCACCACCACTACCACGAGAAATACCACTTCCACTTCCACCTCCACCATCTCTAAAACTCCCAATTCCTCTTTCCAACCCGGATCTCATTCAAACTCAAACTCAAATTCGGTTTCGGTTTCGAATGTGATTGACACAAGTAATATTCAAGACCGTATTGTGCCGTCCTCTCTTACCCATAAATCCAATCCTACACATATCTCAACTACATCCACACTCACACTCACACCCACACCCACACCCACTTCCACCACTTCCACTTCCACTTCCACCACCACCACCACATCATCTGCCTCAGCCTCAAGTTCACTACCACCACTTTCGGATAGATCCATTCGAGAAGGCGAATCCAGTCAAAGTTTTACGAGAGATTCCTCAAATTTCTTATCTTCAGTAAAATTGTCGTCGGTTCGACCTCTGACTTTTGATTCAAAATCTTCGTTGATACCTCGCGAATCGAGTTCAAAGGAACTGATACCTCGCACGTCTAATAATACTACATCTCATAAGCAAAATCGTCAATCGACTAGCTCTTTGAGACAAAACCGAACTGGCTTGTTCACCTTAGCTGTATTGGCAAGAGATAAAACTAGCAACGCAATTGCAAGTTTGGCTGAGCCCGCGTTACGTTCACGTCCGTCATCGGGCAATACTTTAGATTCACTTCCAGATCAAAACACTCCTTTGAATAGTATTAAAGATAGGTCCAAGTCGGCAGGAGTTTTAGGAAACCATATACATCACACAGACTTATCTTCCTCGCCCTGCGAAAACTCGACATCGACTGCAGCAAACACAATTTCAGAGGAGACACCTCCCTCCCATTTCCTGGGTCGTCGCCAGTCGTTACTTGGTACCAACCCTCCCTCGCAGGCGTACTCGAATACTGCTGCAGATACCCCACCACCGTTGATCCACTCAAATCACAGGACGACAAATACCAGCAAGATGCATCAAACATCGTCGCGCTTGTTGCGCATGACGAGCGATGACAGGCCATTCACAAGAGTATGTATTGGCAACGATGTGTTAATTTTTTTCGAGAGGCCAAGATTGATTGATGCTGACTTTTGGACAAGGATTTCAAAGATTTATTCGCAACGTTGGTAGTCAGTTTACCACTGGCAACGCACCGCATACGATTAACTAGAGTGGAACATTCGTTTCTTTCAGAAGAGGCTATCAATAATTTGGGCTCTTTAAAATTCTCACAATCGAATCGTATGCCAGATCCAAAAGACCCTTCACGTATTGTCACCACCACCACGACAACAACATTCTCTATGGCGCGGGAAATGGCCCGATCAGTATGTCAACGTTTCCTAGATGCACGATTTATCGAATCTGCGGACGGAAAGCAGGCAAAGGATTTCACAATCAAGGGTTCCATATGGCAGTTGACACCAAAAGGTATTCATGTTTTGGAAAGATTTTGCTCGAAGAATGGAATACAACAGAGACATGTCGCAGAACTTGTCGCATCCCCAAGAAACACAATGCAATTGGTTATTCTAGAAAGAGATTCTGCTACGGACAAACTTTCCTCGGATCGAAGCACAATTGAGGTTATTTTCCGCAGGTTTGTTGGTCAAAATGGACCGAATATCAAGACCAGCACCACATCAGCTGATTCGGATTCTTTGAGCGAGTACAAGGATGGAATTGCTGGTGTAAGAATGGCAGGAGAGCGTAAGGTTGGATCGCCACCCAGAACTGTTTATCAAACATTTACTGGAAAGGCCGCTTGTGACTGGCTAATGGATTGTTGTACTACGGTGGACAGACGGGAAACCACAGAAGTTGCGTCGCTATTTTTGGAGCAGGAACTAATCTGGTGCGTTCAGCCCGACAGGCAATACCAGCAACAACTCCCTCCTTCAGATGATAAGAAGGATTTCCGATTCCAGCCTACAAAGTATGCCTACTATCAATTATCACAAAAAGGCAAGGATGTGATCAATATGACTTCGAGAGATCGTACTTCAGAGAGCGAAGGAAGTTCAGCAGCAGTAAGAGCTGGCGTATCCCGAGATTCGAATACTCAAAAGTTGGACAAAATTCTTAATGATGCCGCACTTCGTTTACTTTTCCGCGAAAACCTTCGGGATACTCATTGTGAGGAGAACTTGTCTTTCTATCTAGATGTCGAGGAATTCTTAAAGTCATGCAAGGCAGCCGTAAGAAATGTAGACCCAACCAGGGGTAAATCAGGAGGAAGTCTAGATTCCGTCAAGGAAACTATGGCATCAGCCTATGGTATTTACAATGCATTCTTAGCTCCAGGCTCACCTTGCGAACTTAATATCGATCATATGCTCAGGAATCAATTGGCTACTAGAATGACCAAGGCTGTGGGACAAGATGCTGCTATGGTGGAGAGTTTGAAGGAAGTCACAAAGTTATTTGAAGAGGCTCAATTATCTGTCTTCAAGTTGATGGCTAGTGTAAGTATTATGCATGTGCAATTGTTGATTAGTTTCTAACAATCAATCATAGGACTCCGTGCCAAAATTCATGAAGAGCTCAAAATATGAACAAACTCTCAAGAATTACGATTTCGATTCGATATCTCCAAATGGACATCGGTACAACTTACCTGAACGATCTGCTAGTCAATCTAACAAATAGTATCTGGATGACTGTCAATTGGCTCCACGAGAAACCCCCTTTAAAATACCTCTCACCACTTCATCGATCTTGGGAACCAGTTGTATTATTACTTCGAGAGCAGGTATTTAGTCCTTGACAGAGGCTTTGAAACGATCATTTGTCTTTTAGCGATTGCATAGATTCCCCTCAATATTACTTTTGGACCTGAATATGTCCCAGCGGAAGGATCAATTGGAGATGACGAAAATGAGATATCCTTTTCGAGACCAGGAGAATGCAGTATCACATACTGTATGAATGAACATCGAACCAAGAAGTCTCACCCGGAAATGAATGCATTTAATGGAGCATCGAGAAGCTTTGGGGGGACTGGCCATCATTTTGATGTCATGGTCTTTATTTTTCTATTACATTTTTTTGCGCCGTTTTTTACTTGATTTTTTCGTCTTTCGATGAGCGGCTTTTCAGCATTGCATTGCAAAGCATAATCGACGAATGAGATACGTGTACATAGCATTTCTGGCGTTGGGGTTATAGTTAGTCCTCTTTTATTGTGGGAGGGACGAATAAATTCATTGGGTGGGGTGTTGCTATACACATATAGATGGGGTGGGTGGGAGAGAAATGGATGGATGGATGGAAGGAAAGACTTTTCGTCTTTATTTTTTCTTTTCTGTTTATGGTAAAAGGGGAGGTGGGATAAATATGGGGAGGCACAGTGGTTAGTGTGAAGGGATAGGGAGGAGTGGGAGATAAAGATGGGAAATGGGGAATGGAGATAGGAATAGGGGAAAGGGGATAGGCCAAGGGAAAATACTTGGAAGATAAGAGAAGAAAGGATAAGGTTTCTTGAGTGGTGCTTTATGCTATGCCATGAATATGAACATGACCATGATATGATATTGCTTTTATGAGATTTTTTTGGTGTCTTTTTATATGTGGTTTTGGTGATTTGGATGTGTGGTGATGTTTGTGTTTGTGTTTTTGTGTGGTGGATGGATGGGTGGATGGATGAGCGAAGCTTGATTTTATAGTGAATGATGATGAATGAATGATGATGAATAAATAAGGGTCGGATAGAAAGAAGAAGATGAAGATGAAGTTAAAGGGAAGAAGTGGGAATGTGAGTCGATAGCAATTGTTGAGTTGACTTGTAGACTGTAGGTAAGATGGGGAGAGTATTTTATTTTCAATTACCTATTTGGCTAGAGTTGATATCTGCGATATGGTTATATGGTTATATGGTTATATGGTGTGATGGACGTGATGGACGTGATGGATGTGATGGATGTGATGGATGTGATGGATGTGATGGATGTGATGGATGTGATGGATGTGATGGATGTGATGGATGTGATGGATGTGATGTCACTGTGCTATGCTATGTATGAGATTCGGAATGATATGATGAGGGGAGGGGAATGGTGTACTGAGGGGAGGGGATATGAGTATGAGTATGAGTATGAGTATGAGTATGAGTATGAGTACCTATCAGTATGAGTACCTATCAGTATGATATTTGGACAGGGGAGTAGGTAGGTTGGTGAGTTGGTAAGCAAATAAATGGGTTGGTAGATGTACGTAGATAACTGTGAGATGAATAGATAGATAGTGATATTGAGGAATAGAGAGATTGAGAAATAGATCTAGGATTGTATTTACATTTTGTAGTATGTAGATTTGTGTACGATGCTTGGGTAGGTAAATGAATAGGTAGAGATGTTTATATATATATTTTTATACATCTATATAATAGATAGTGATATAGAGGGATGGACAGATGGATGGATAGATAGACAAACTTGGAAATATAGGATATATTAAGAATCCTATTTATTTCTAGTTATTTATATCGATACTGATATTGATACTGATATCTCCCACCTTATCTCTCATCCAAATTCAAAACCCATCTAACATCTAACTAACACCCCCTCTCCTCCACCACACAATTCAAAAAACCCTCCAGCAGTACACATTCCAAATCTCCAATATTTCTTCCGATTAACACGATTTTTCCCTCGCTGTTGCGATCGGATTCCATTTCGTTTTTGGGGAGTGGAGTTTCGGTTCCCATCTGGGGAGAAGTTGAGGGGTGGGAAGAAATTGAAGTTTTGGGAGAAGAAGGGGACACATCATCAAGAATCTCAAATACTTCGCGCACGGCCTGGATGATTTTGGTGGTGTGGTTTGTGAGGGGGAGACGGGCTTTGAGGCGGTGGATTTCGGGGGAGGGGGAGGAGGAAATTGTGGAGGTGGGGTGGGAAGGGGAGGATGAGGAGAGGGAGGATGGGGATGGAGAGGGGATCTGAGAGTCCCAGAGGAGAGAACGTAGCCAGGCGTCGAGGTGGGGGAGGCTGGTGGGGGAGAGGGGTGGGGTGGTTAGGGTGAGGGTGGTGATTGTCTGGTGGGGTAAGGTGTTAGTTTTGGGGTTTGATTTGGTTTCGAGGGGGAAGGAATAGGGAGAAATTGAAAAGGGGATAGAGTGATGGGATGAGATGAGATGAGTTGAGGTGTGGTTAGATTTGGAATATTTGGATAGATGGGTAAAGACAAATGTGGTCAGGAAGAGAAAGGGAAATGAAGAGAAAGAGAATCAAAACTCACAGGATCTAAATGACTATGACCTTTTGCTTTTACATCCTCCAGATTGAAATCCACTCTATCATACGCATGTAAATCCAACAAGACCCCTTCTAATTTGGGAGTTGCGCCGAATTCCGTAACGTGTAATTTTGCCAAACCATTTATCGCTGTGATTCTCTCCTTGACGATTTCCAATTCTTCCGGAGTGACCAGATCCGATTTATTGAGGATGAGAACATCGGCGTGAGAGATTTGGAGATGGGCGGTTGTGAGGTGAGGACCGGGATGGTCGTGTTTGTCGTTGGAATCAGAATTGGAATCGGTGCTGGCGTGAGATTTGTTCTGGTTGGGTGTTTCCGAGGGAATTTCCGAGGGGATAGGTTCGTTGAGGGATTTGAGGATGTTTTTTGCGTCGACGAGGGTGACGATTCCGTCGAGGTAAATGGTGCTGCCGAGTCCTTCGTCGACCCAGAAGAGGGGGGCGAGATTGCCGGGGTCGGCGAGACCGGTCGTTTCGAGGAGGATGTAGTCGAAGGCGCCGCGGCGGTCCATAAGTGTTTCGATGGCGTTGACGCCGGAGTCCCTAGGGGTGTGTTGGTGGGAGTATGATTGGGAGGGGGAAGAGATATATAGATGGGGATGGAGACTGAGAGAAAAAGAACATGGAGGTTTACTTTACGGAACAACAGATACAGCCATTACCAACATCGAGCCATTCTTCTACTTGCTCACTACCAGTGTTGACAGTAAGAGATCTCTCAATATCAGCGGCTGCATGGTGAAGGTGTTAGTTTGAATACCATAAGCCATAGGGAATAGTCTCCGAATTATGATACATTCGTATCTTGACTTATGAGCCCGAAAGATCACTTGATCTATACTTTTCCAACTTACAATCACCGAATTCTATCTGATAGTTAGTCAAGTGTCACATTATATGGTATAAGATCTGAAGAGTATGTATGGTTTAAAGAATAAATACCATTTAATATCACAGCGATTTTCTTTCCATGCTGTTCATTCAAGATATAATTCATCAACGTTGTCTTTCCAGCACCAAGATATCCTTGAAACTCATGGTTAGTTATCTCGTTACATTCCAGTATCCAAGTATATATAGAACTTGCCTGTGACAATTGTAATTGGTACTTTGATGGGTTTTGCTCCTTTTTCTTCTGCATTCACTTCTTTGCCTTCCACATTGACTAGCATGGGAATATCATCGTCGACGTCCATAATGGATGGGCAGCAGGTGTAGGTAAGATATAGTTGTGAATAAATGTATATCAAAGAAGTAAAATATTATGACCTATTCTCAATATCTCTCTCCTTCTCTGTCCCCCTCTCTCTACTTGGTGAAGAATTCAAACTTGACTTTAATTTGTTTTTCCCACTAAATATATTCCTCACATGTTCTACAGCCTTGTGAAAGTTCAGCGTCCTTGCACCAAAAATTAGAGTTCCCGACACTATTTAAAGAAACGTCAGTTTTGATTGGTTAACGCGGATCTGAAGAAATTGGCGCGTTACTACCGGTATTATTACTAGTATTAGTATTACGGTAATACTGTAATATTAATCCACACCCATCAACTTTCAATTTATCGTTCGTTATAAAGTAACTTATAAACATCCTCAACTCTTTCAAGTCGCAACCTCGAGCGCATCATTTTTTGGCACATGTAAAAGGTTTCCAACGTCAATTTGAGGGGTTGATCATGATGTCTAGTCTCCCACCAAGCTCTCCACGGCTTCCCAGCCCACCTCCTCCTACAGAAATCCAGATTGGTCCAAAGTCACCATCCCTGGGAAGTGCTTCCTCAAATCAGGAACAAATGGTTGAGCAAAGTATTATAGAGACAAATGCTAGTCGAAGGATACATCCAGGAACAAAAGCTGCGGATATGGCTGCTGGTCCACCTCTCATACCTTTGAGTGAGGTTGGTACCTCCTTATTTCCTAATTTGAAGCTCAAAGGCTACGTCGCATCTATATTATGAAGACATTGCTAACTTATTTTTAATCTCATACAGCTCGACTCAGCATTCCAGCTACAAGAACATTTAAAAGCGCTCCATTACTATCACACTAAACCTCCCTCGAAAGACCATAGCATCCCCATAACCCGCGAAACCGCTGTCGAAATAGCTACACCACCAAATGGACTCGATCAAGCTCTATGGCTTTACGAACTCTGCCGTTTCTTAATCAACAAATGCAATGATTTAATAATTGGATTTCTCTTCGATGATCCTCCTTGTTCCGCACATACATGTCCAGAAATGCGCGCTTCCGAATGGCAATTTCTTTGCGCCGTGCACGAATCACCCAAAAGTTGTTGCGCGATCGATTACTGCTGTCATACATTAGACTGGGCTACAAATATTGTAACGAGTCAAAAGATATTTCCAAGTCGTTTGAGTATGGCCGCTGGTGATGCGATGGATGATAGAGGGGCTGGTGTCAAACATTTAATTAATATTTTCAGGCGCTTACATCGAATATTTGCGCATGCGTGGTTTCAACATCGGGGAGTATTTTGGCAGGTTGAGGGTCAGACAGGTCTTTATGTTTTGTTTAAGACGGTTTGTGATATGCATGAGCTATTGCCGCCAGAGAATTATAAGCTTCCACCAGAAGCAGAGGGATTGGAATATGTTGAGGACAAGCCACCGGCGGTTACATCGATTTTGAAGACACCAGTAGGGGTTGAGGAAGACTTCTTAGGACTGGGAAGACAAAATACAACTAGAAGACATGTTAGACAATCACCTTCAGTGGGATCGGCAATCACGACAGTTCAAGAAATTGATGAGGAAGAAGGGGATATAACTCAAAGATTAAGGGCTGCACGTAATTCACGAATTGCGGAGGAAGAGGGAGAGGATGGAGAGACGAAAAATGATACTAAAACAGAGATAGAGATACCCGTTATTGTGGAGAGCGTTAAGGAGGTGAATCCAGATGATGATATGGAATACGAGGAGACGAATCACGGGGTAGGAGAGGAAGAACAATCAAGTTCGGAAACGATTCAAAATTTGGAATCTGAGTTGGAAGATTCTGAGACTGTTATCCATGATGATAA